TAAGTCCTGACATTTTAGAAATTCACCGCTTAAGAACAGAAGCGAGGAGCGATGGGGTCACAGGATTGGGGATCGGGTCGGCTTATATCATCGTCACCCATCTTTTCTCCTCCTATTACTTCTGAACCGAACATCATTGGCGGGTAGTATCGCTTCGTTCGCTGAAACGCCTGTTGCCGCCATTGCAGCCTCGTCTCTTGTAGCCTTTTCCGCTTCTCTACTCTTCTCGCATTGCACATTTCAAAGTCAAGAGGCACTAAAACCTCATTTTATGCTCCCATCACAACATCCACATTGCACTGTCTGTACTTGGTCTTTCGGTTCCCAGCCCCTAGCGGCCGCCCTTTTCCGCTGGCCGTTCCGTAATCATTCCCAAACATCGCGCGATGGCCAGCATCAGTCAACATATCTCCATCATCATCATTATTGTCGGGTCCGTCGTATGTTTTTCAAGCGTTACTCCATCTGTTGCGTTTCCTCCTTAGGTCGTGACATCACTGCCAACGCGACAGTGGATCACAGTGTTCCTCAGACTCTCCGTCAGACCGTCTTTACTTAGTCAAGACAACCCTGCGCCGTCCAACTCTGGCCGTCTGTTGGTTGCTGTTACTCGCCGCGACAACCATTCCATCGTCACATTGACCAAACTTACACGGACATGCTCACACAAAAGCAACTATAGAACCCAAGGGCCTAACAGAGCACAAGTCTGCCGAAGCTATCCGACCAGGCAGCGACTAGACGTTGCCGGCTTGACTTCGGTATGGAAATGTGCGGGGAAAAAAAGGGGTTCAGTGGAAGAGGACCGCACTTTTCGTATGATGAGAAAATAAAGGCAGAGGAGGAAATGAAGGGAAAAGGAGACGTTATACGGGGGGAAGTGGTGAGACGGATGGGTGGATTTATGAGGCAAGAGCATCCGCGGTCACTGTTATGATTGTAAGGCCACTACCACATTACTACCCGAGATGTCGTATTTGATATTTTGAGCTTGCCATTTTGCTGCTGCACTATCGCTGGCTTTAAGGTATGGGATTCCCTAGGACAAATTCCAGCCGTCTTTAGCGCCTTCGCTGCATCGATCGTAACAGCCCGACCTCCCTCGGATAGGTAGGCCGACACGTCGACGAAGGCAATCTGAATGAAGTAGCATTGCAACATCGCTCAAGTTCCACGTTTGTCAACACAATTCAACATCTCCAAAAATATATTTTGAGGCAAAAACGTTAAGGGAAACCAGCACAAGAAGAAATCAAGCAACCGAGTCGAACTGCCTTCACGAAACCAACGCCACCTAATGCTCGCCAGCCATCGTAGCTCTACAATATCTTCTAAGAGAACACAGGGAAGTCAGTCCTAAGTCTTATGCATATTTGGCGGGAACAGCATTATCGTTGTTGTCGTCGTCGTCGTCGTCGTCGTCGTCGTCGTCGTCGTCGTCCTGAACAGACAGCAACCCTAGTCTTCGATCGCTTCGCCTTGCTTGTCTCTTCCTCTTGGGTGCTATAAGTAATCGCTTCTTAAGTCGAGCGGAGCCGTCTTTTACAACGCTGGGCCTGTTTTGGCCCTGCTCTGGTTTCAGCCGCAGCTCCACTCTCCGCAGGCAGCCAGACGTTACCGACCGCTAGCCCGTTCGCCGGCGTTGAATCGGGGTTCTACTTGTGGCGATGGCTACGGCGGCCGACTCGAGGACGAAGTAAAGCTCTACTTGTTCTGCCTGACTTTTTGGATAGCTAGTGGCAGCGCCTTTTCCGCCTTCTCTTTTGGGCGGCAACGCCCCCTTCCGACATCGGTTGCTTCTTTCCCAGTTTTTTTTTTGCCGGCTAGAGCAGAAAGCTAGCAAGCGGTGCGCTATTTACTGTGAAGGCAAGCGTGGTTAGGAGCGCGGTCGGGACGATAGTTGTAATCAGCCAGCCAGTCGCCAGCCAAGCAACACTTCTGAACTGGGAATACTGTCTACAGTGTCGTGTCGATTGAATTCGATAGGAAAGTTAGATATGTCGCTTTGCTCAAAGCGGCACTTGGCATGACTGTGATACTTCTACCAAGGGGCAAGCGACCGCAGCGGCGGCGGCGATGGCTCTCTAAAATCACACTTGCGCTCGCTCGTTCATTTGCTAGTTCTTGACTCATGGCGGTGGCTGTGGTGAGCAAGGTTTTGTCTCGCATTTTTATATCTGTCGACCCCTGCCACCCTACATAGACAGTACGAGCAGCAGTGATAGAGAGGTGGAGGCCGATTCGGTATCATAGTCTAAGCTAACGTCAATGTAGGTACTGTCAATTTTGCTCTTGACGCCGCTGGTGCTACAAATCTGACATTGGCCTGCTGCACTCAAACGAAGGGAACCGACGCAGTAACGGGCAATGAGTTCGTTTTGAGGGGTTTTGATATAGAGAGAGATACGAAGTAGAAGCCGGGGGCAAGCGAAGGCGGGAATCGAGACCAAAATACAATGATAATATGATATCTTTCGCAATGGCGTTCCTCACAGAGCCATAGAGCCTGGCCAATCTAACCAACCAATAAACGAAGCGCATTTGAGCACCCCGCAAGGGCCCTCATTTCTGCGGAAGGCAAGTTGTAATACCACCGTTTTGTTGATATATTTCGCACGCTGATTTATATCGTATGGGCTAACAGGGTTTTCGTCATGTTGCAACCCGTTCGACTGATGATAGTAAAAACAACCGTACGACAATATCAGTGTATGCAAGCAATATGTAACTGAGCTTCAGGCGGAAAATGTTTTTCATTCTTTTATGCTGTTCATAAAAAAATGTTCGTTCGGTCGCTCCGCAACTAATAATGCCCATTGTGGAAGTGCCGATGTGGAGATAGTTCGACCCGTAGAAGATAAAAGTTTATCGCTTTTAATATGACTGAAGAAATAATAATAAAATAAAGGCCAGAACTTCCGTAATTTATAGTAGAATTGCTCATTTCCAGGAAAAAGAAAATTTATAAACGTCTTGAAAGCGTTATAAAATGTTGACGGTCTTCATAACGCATTGCTATTTCGTACTGTGTAGAGTTAGGTATTTATGAACGAGATTTTGCGCAATATTTTCTGTTTTAAGAATGAGACGTTCGAGGCAGTTACGGAAGCCGTGTTCTAAGTTATGCCTTACTATCCGAGATAAATGTCAACTGCCTAGTGAACTTAACGGGGCGCAATAGTGCTTACGAAATAAACATTATATAATGATTATTATACGCGCAGACATTGACTGATCTGTTTCTGTTCATCCGTTGTCACAAAGTACGCCCATTAAAATCACCAGCCAGTCGCTATCTACCGTATTCTATCATAATCACATAATTTCATTACTTTTTACAGGGGCAGGGCCTTCTTGCCCGTTGTAATCTACCAGGCTAGTAGTTAGCTAAGGGTATACTCAAGACGCACGATGTTTGGAAAATAAGATTGCCAGTATGTTCTGCCATTGCCGGTTATACATTAGGTGCTTGACAATGTTAGTTCTTTTTTTCCTGCGAGGAGGCGGTATAGAATGTATTTAATTGATTAAATAAGATAAAACATCTAAAACTGGCGCCTGACATTAGATTTATCGCAGCTCTCGATGTTTCTTTATGATTTCTAATCTGAAGTTGTGCGGAGCTCAGCTCTATGGCCAAATACGACACTCAGAAACTAAATAGAAATGAACAAACGTCTGGGGGTCAAGCAATATTCTTGTTCCTGCGGTAAAAAGCTTCGTTGTCGTAATTCGACGTAAATATAAATATTTTGTGGAACATGTTTTTTCAAAGGCTTAAAGTGACGCCGCTGTACTTACGTACTCGATCGTTATTGACGAATGAAGCAGTCACAGTAGAGTATAATAGGTGAACAATTTATATAATGAGTAGCTCCTTTCTTAGAAGAGTCGTACACAATACTTGAATGTATGTAAAACTACTTGCCAATCCCCACAGTGAGTCCGCAGTATTTTTTTAACTCGCTATATTTTCATCTGCTTCTAAATAAATGATAGAACGGATACAGCCAACATAAATTTGTTTACCATAACGTATGACGCATCCGCAAATGCTCATTATTATACTTCGTATACCTGAGTATACGAGTTCGGGCTTAAATTGGGATTATCTTTGCCGGGATGAGTGTAGTACTTTTCGGCTATTTCTTTTACCGGACCGAAATCAGTTCTTTCTAAAGCAGAAAGTAGCGGACAGCAGTGGGCACACTCTTTGTTGGACGACTTCCTGTTAAAATTGAAAAGAACTTGTTGGGTTATCCCGAGTCCCTTATACACTTTTTTACAAATGAGTACCCAGCTGCAGACGAAGTAGAAGTAAGTTTCAATGCAACAAAATGGTAAGTCAACGAAACAAAAAAAAACAGTGCGAATTTCAGTTAAGTTTGTCTTTAGTCAGAGAAATTCTGAGGACTGTAAAACCAAGAGATCTGACTGGTAATATTTGTCATAAAATTCTCGTAAGATTAAAGCAACCAATCGTTTTCGATTTTTTTCTGATGAAGAACATTTTTTCTTGATGCAAAAGCGACGGCTGGCTTGCCCGAGATCTACAGGATGTGCGTACTGAGGATAGAAAGTAAATTTTCGGATACATTTTGACTGTGATGTCCAGTGTAGAACACACCGTACCGCCATACCTCTTGCAGAAATATGAGCGTATGCCTAAACAAATTTATCTGCATGTTGTATAAACTGTTGCGCAATCGTGGCTAATTAAAGTCTGTGAAAAAAGACCGTAAGCCTTCCAACGAGGTGGCGTACTGGCTCACAGAGGTCAATTAGTGTAGGGATGCTTGCTTAAGAGCATAAGCATGCTCTGGGATATGCCCGTCGGACCATCCATATCTGAGCCCATTGAATTGCTAAGTATTAAACAAGAGTCCAGCAAGTATGGACATGACGACCATATACATATAACAAATTCTGCAAAATAAAATTATATCATTAGGAATATAAAATAGTTTCATTTAAGCGTAACAATATTATTGAGAACTTACTTCAAGTGGTTTACTAGGCGGCCTCGTGCTTACCTGGAACACAAACGAACGTCACATTAGCTTGATGCGTTTTGTGTAGAAAATACGTGTTCTCGAACATAAATACAGATCGAAGTTCTTCTGACTCTGAAAACTAACCATGCCTCAGGAGCAGGCTATTCAACAAGTTTTGTTTGGGTGGGCTGTCAGAGTATTCGACAGATCTAAATTTGATGTCAACGGCGAATGGGCATAATGGAAGATCTTGTGATGAACGCTATTACACGAGACATTATACCGATACACTGTGCACATTAACCAACACTATCAAGCAATTTCATGTTTCAGTCGTTTCTGGGCTCTATTTTGAAACGCCAATTATCCAGGAATCGTGTATTTGGTTATCGGTCGTTGATCACCAACTGGCAACAACGTTAGTGGGTAAAATACTGCAGACCACTGAGTTCCTTGGATAGCATTTTTATATATATATATATATAGTAAGGTTAACGCGTTATATTAATTATGACATTCAATGTAATAGCTAAACAAAACTATCCCTTAGGAGATAATGTATAAAACAGCCGCTTTACGCAATGCACAAGATACGTTGGTTTGTTGATCAGGGTCCGTTTTTCTTTTTGCCACGTTCATTACACTTTTACCCCCTCCCACAAATCAGGTCCTGCTGACCACTTCGATATCTCGCTTTCAGCATCGTTTCTTTTCGCCTTTGTTCGTTGGCCCGCTCGCTTTTTGGCTAGTCTTTCTTTTTCCTCTCTTTGCTGTTCATGAAGACACGCCACCTCTTTCACGCATTAGGCAAAATGGAGCGATTGCAGGGCATAGGAAGCCGGGCGTACCCTGAGTGGATAGATGACGGGCAAACCTGCGCCGACTGCGGTCGACGACGGCTTGCCCCGTCGGCCAGACTACCCAAGCAGCCAAGAGCGTGGTGGCGGCTAAAGGCTCTGGTCTGATGGACGAGACCGAAAATAGCGGCGAAGATCAGGCTATGTTGCCGTCCATGAGCAAGTGAAGAAAGCCACAGGTGGCCGACCATCGAGTGACAGAAGGCAGAGCACCTCCGATCAGAGGCCTTGCCAGGTCCAAGCAGATACGGCCCCTGCTATCCGTCTGTATAGTGGCTGTACCCAAGTCCAAATCGCAGAAAATTGACAATAAATGGGTATCTACCGAGCGGTCCTGTGTGATGTTGGAACCTTGGAAAGGTCGCGGCACCTCGTTTCTTCTAAGGATATGAACGACGTTGTGGATGTAAGTGGCAAGCGCATCGGATCCTGCCCGATCGTACCGCAAAACAACATAGGGACCAACGGATACAGGGAACAATAGACGAACATGGGCATGCTATTTCGACTCATCCGCGCTATTCTACAGGTACCGTGTCTTATATTGTTGCTCGAGTCTTCTCTTTAATCTTTTTTTTGCCGGTAAAGAAAGCAGAAGACTCTAAATGAGCGAGACAGGCCATGGAAGGGACGGATGTATACAGCTGCAAAGTTGTGGCGACTCCTATCCAGTCCCAGATTCGTTTTATCCCTCTTCGTATAGTGAAAACTACGACAATAATGACACTCCAAACGCCAGTGGGAACCGCAGTAAAAACATAGTAAGTCAGTTCTAGCCAGCGAAAATCCTAAGAAAACGAATAAAGAATCTCAAAAGAAAGGACGCGTCGTGAGTCAGCCCTGTCTGTTGAAGAATCAGCTGCGTGTCTAATATGGGCTGTACGCCGATGACCGCAGCGCACAGCAGTTGTGTGCCATAGGATAAGATGACATGAAAATTACAACGTGAAATTGGCCGTGACGTTGAAAACCCGTCGGGCTCAAGCGTATAAATCGGGAACCGAGCGTATGTGCAATGAAGCAGGGTATCATACCAGAAACACTCAAAAGTGAAGCCTGTCATGAAAAGTACTACATTTTCTTAATGCGCTAGTATCAAAATATGCCGCTGGCTCCGAGATGCGGTCTTGGACCCTGGTTTGGCTTTCGAAACATCACGGTAAACATAGCGTATTTAGAAGTGACCGGCAATGAAACGGCAGGCTCACCCATAAAGTACCCGGGTAACCCAGGTATCGAGATGGCCCGACCTTTCCAGGACCTCGCAAAATTTACAATAGAAAATCTAGAGTAGTAAGCAAATGATAGGTTTCAGAGGCGAGAGATTGCGATCACGAGTTGTGACCGCCATGACCCGGGCGGATGTATCCGACTGTTCGTCTCGGTATTGCTTTTCGTCTGCCCTGCTTGCTTTTAGTTCGTACGTAGACGGAAAAGTCGAAAGGAGGTCCACGGAAGTGCACGATGAAAAGAAGCGAGACAGGAGGGAAAGAGAATGGGTAACTTAAAACTGCTCATTGGGTTCCAATGTTTTCTGCTCCTTTTCACAACTTCATTCCTAGCCGTTCTCCGCACACCCCGACTAAGCGAAGCAACTGTAGTAGTCGAATCATTTTCTGGATGAATGTGCACACATCCCTTGGCTGTCTTCATTCTCCGATCGTGAACGGAACCAAACCAAGGTGACAATGATTGGCCCAAACTCAAGCTGGGGCTTTGTCTGTTTCGTACTGCCCTTGAAGTAATGAGCTGGCTGCACCGTCGTTGGCCGTGTCTCCGTTATGCATTCGCTGGCCGGCCCCTGACACGTGTGCGCGACCCATATACGGGTCTGTTTTCTTTCCTGCTTTTTCTTCCGGTGCATGCGTTGTTAGCGTGGTACGCAGCTGCTGCTGTTGTTTGTGCCACTTTTGTATGGCATCTCAGACATAGATGGACCAAAGGGCGAAGGAGGTAAGACATAGCAGTTGTAACACAGAGGCCGGCGCCGCTGGCAGCAGCAGCAAGCAAGCCTTGCCTTTCTGTCGTTGACGCTTAATGGCGCTTTGCTATCACGAGAATCAAGACAAGGGACAGGCAGTATATACGACGGAGAAACTGTCGGTCAGAGGTCCCCAGCAGAAGGGGAAAGAAAGAGCAATGCTTATGGTAGGGATAGCGGTACGCAGCTGCTGGTATGGGAAATTCTTTGTCGGTGTTCCAATGCCTGTCCGTACTGTCTTTATCTCCGTTCAATTTCAAGCACTAAAACACACAGGAGGCGGCTTTCTTGAAAGCTGCTCGTTGTCCCTTTTACGTTGGCGCTGTCGGGTCCGCCAGAGCTTGCGTTCAAGCTATATAGCTGGTTTGCTTGACGCGTTGTCTGGCATCAGCGTACAAAAACTAAGAGCAGACACAAAACAGAGCCAAGCTCATACAAAAGAACATCTAAGAAGATACGTGCACTCATATAGAATTTTTTGGCCCCCTCTACCCCATTCCACCTACATCTTTCGCTTTGCCCCCTGAAATTCAGCATTCCCGTTGCTGCTTTAGATGACAGGGCGCTAGCCATTCTTTGAGTTTTTTCTGTTTCAAATACAACTTTTACGGGGGGACGCGCTTGACAATGACTCTGAGAGCGCCCACTATACGCGTTGTTGCGACGCGTCTCAGCACTAGGCACGTAAGATGTGCTGCAGAACAAGAGCTGTAATGGTGACAGTAGCTGTTTGTAAATGCCGCATCAACAGCGGCAGCAACAATAACTAGCATCCAAGCAATATTCGTTCTCTCATTTAAACACACGTTCTTGATGCCTTCGTTGTTTTTTTTTTTGCTATTGGTTTCCCCAAGCGTTCCCCTTTCTTAGTTCCTCTCTATGTTTTAAACAGCCTATAGCCTAGCTCTCGCACCCATTTACGCAAAAACAACGCTTAGAGGCTCTGCAAATCTGCTTCGTGCCAGCACCCTTTCTTCAGTTTCTATCGGCCTGCGTCAAGCAAAGATTTCACCGACTCGCTCTGCGCTTGCGACAGTCTCAGTGGCGTTACTGCTGTTTTATGCAGCAGAAACGTTTTTGCGCCGCTATCCTGGACTGGTCGCTTGTCTGCCGCCGGCTGCCGGTTTCCTCGCCGTATCTATTTCTTATCTTCTCGCTTGAAGGGCTGTGAGACATCTTTAAGTGATGTAGCGGCGGTGGTGACGCGTAGCTAGTAGTGGAGTGCCGTTTTCGTGCTATTGTTACTCCGATTGCTACCTATCACAAACTAGCACAGCATTTACCCTTGACGTGTGGTGTAGTCATTGTTACTGTAGACGCTGCCCTCCTTACATCGTTCATCCTACATTACACAATGGTGATGCTCTTTGCTCATAACGCTCGTGGTAACGGTTAGGGTGCCCTAGTTGCCACTGAAGCACGACAGGCCGAGTTTGAAAGCAGTGGTGGCGGAGGATAGGTGACCAGCCAGTTGGTTACCTATGCTACCTTCACGGCTCACAGCGATAACCATGCTAATCGCGGGTTTTCAGAGAACCGTAGTGGCAGTTTAGGCGTTGTCCGACACAGTCGCCAGGCTTCGGAAGGACCAAAGGTAGATATAGAGGTTCCTGAGCAGTCTAATCGAATTATCTTTCGACTTTTTCCTTTCTTTCACGGTCTTTCTTTCTCTAGTCTTCGTTCTGGCCGCGCCATCGCTTTACTTTACTGGTTTCCAGCGATCCACCTATCAAAGATAAAATAAAGCAACAACATTTACGAAAGTGCTTGCTGCTTGACTTGACCTGGCCGGTTCTTTTCCATTTTTCTATTCGCTAAGCGACGCTACCGCCATCCCCGCGCCATAGTCGTTGTCCGCACCAGTTAGTGATCAGTAAGGACAGAGGCTACTTCCCCGCTTTATTCTTCGAGCGAGGTACTGCGCTGGAGATATCGTCGTCTCATCACTCCGCTGCAGCGAGCAGTGGTTCGACCGCCTCTTCCAGCATATGCCGGCTATGGGCGACAACGGTATCTTTTTTCTGTCTTGCGGAACAGCGCGAAGGAGGTTTGAGCGGTGGGCAAACCAGAGCGTTAGAGGTCGGCGCATCAGCAGACTACTTCATCGAAGAAGGAAGGAAATACAGGATCAAAGAAGCTCGCTGAAGCAGAGATAAAGGATGAAGACATAGTAATGAGATTTCATTGTCCCGATGAAGCCA